ATCGGGTTCTTAGGATCGGGTTCTTGGGATCGGGTTCTTAGGACGGGTTCTTCGGATTGGGTTCTTGGGATTGGGTTCTTGGGATTGGGTTCTTCGAATCAGGTCCTTGGGATCGGGTTCTTGGGATCGGGTTCTTGAGATCGGGCTATTGGGATAGGGCTCTTGGATTAGGCTCTTGGGATTGGGCTCTTGGGATTGGCTTCTTGGGATCGGGTTCTTGGGATCGGGTTCTTGGGATCGGGTTCTTGGGATCGGGTTCTTGGGATCGGGTTTTTGGGAATGGGTTTTGGGATCGGGTTCTTAGGATGGGTTCTTGGGATCGGGTTCTTGGGATCGGGTCCTTGGAATCGGGTCCTTGGGATCGGCTTCTTGGGATCGGCCTATTGGGATCGGGCTGTTGGATTGGGCTCTTGGGATTGGGCTCTTGGGATCGGGTTCTTGGGATCGGGTTCTTGGGATCGGGTTTTAGGGATCGGGTTCTTGGGATTGGGTTCTTAGGACCGGTTCTTGGGATCGGGTTCTTAGCACGGGTTCTTCCGATCGGGTTCTTGGGATTGGGTTCTTGGAATCGGGTCCTTGGGATCGGGTCCTTGGAATCGGGTCCTTGGGATTGGGTCCTTGGGATCGGGTCCTTGGGATCGGGTCCTTGGGATTGGGCTCTTGGGATTGGGCTCTTGGGATTGGGCTCTTGGGATTGGGTTCTTGGGATCGGGTTCTTGGGATCGGGTTCTTGGGATCGGGTTCTTGGGATTGGATTCTTGGGATCGGATTCTTGGGATCGGGTTCTTGGGAGCGGGTTCTTGGGATTGGGCTCTACTGATTGGGCTCTTGGGATCAGGTTTTTGGGATTGGGTTCTTGTGGTCGGGCTCTTGGGGACGGGCTCTTGGGATCAGGTTTTTGGGATTGGGTTCTTGGGATTGGGTTCTTGTTGGGATTGGGCTCTTGGGATTGGGTTCTTGTGGTCGGGCTCTTGGGGACGGGCTCTTGGGATTCTAAGGACAGGCGCTACAACGCTCTAATGCCACACATAATCCTTTGGTACCTGGTATTAGAGGTCATGGTACCCACCTGGTACAAGAGGTCATGGCACCCACCTGGCACAGGACATGCACTTGGACGAGCAGGTTCACGTCCGCATGTCGGTTGGGGATACCTGCGAGGTTGAGATCGCTGGCGCTGATGCCAAGGAAAGGCAGTACAACGCTCTAATGCTACACAGGAAATTATGGTACCTGGTACAAGAGGTCATGGTACTTACCTGGTACAGGACATCCACTTGAATGATCAGGTTCACATCCGCATGTCGGTTGGGAATGACTTCTAGGTTGAGATCACTGGCGCTGATGCCAAGGAAAGGCACCACGAGGTGGTTGAACGTCTTCACCTGAATGGGTCATGTAGCACGCACACAAATTTGCAACTTGGGAGAGACGAAAGCACTGATGCCAAGGAAAGGCACCACTGATGAGCAGACGATACCTGATGTGATGTGATGGCAATGGGGATGGTGGGGTTGTTTCTGAGCAGCGGCGACAGGATGAAGAGGTGCGGCACGAGCTCTATGAGCACGTGGTAGAAAGCAGTACAAGGCATGCACCTGGATGGATGGGGTAACACATCATACCATGTGGGGCACACCTGGTGGCTTAGAGGGACATACCTGGTGTGATGCGATGGCGATGGGGATATTTGGATTGTCTCGGAGCAGTGGGGAGAGGATGAAGAGGTGTGGCACGAGCTCAATGAGCACGTGGTAGAAGGCGATGCCGAGCGGGTACATGAGCGACACGAGCTGGTGGTAGTGGCGCACTTTGGCTCTAGGTGGCTCGAAAGAAAACTGCACAGGGAGACAGCAGGGGCAATGAAGGGTTGAGGCACCTCAACGCTCGATGAGTCCGTGGTAGAAGGCTGTTCCTAGAGGATACATGGGAGACACGAGTTGGTGGTACATGCAATCACGTTGCTTCATGCACTCACATTGCCATGCGCTCACATTGTCATGCACTCACATTGCCATGCGCTCACATTGCCATGCGCTCACATTGCTTCGTGCACTCACATTGCCATGCGCTCACATTGCCATGCGCTCACATTGCTTCGTGCACTCACATTGCCATGCGCTCACATTGCCATGCGCTCACATTGTCATGCGCTCACATTGTCATGCACTCACATTGTCATGCGCTCACATTGCCATGCACTCACATTGCCATGCGCTCACATTGTCATGCGCTCACATTGCCATGCACTCACATTGCCATGCGCTCACATTGCCATGCGCTCACATTGCCATGTGCTCACATTGCTTCGTGCACTCACATTGCCATGCGCTCACATTGCCATGCGCTCACATTGTCATGCGCTCACATTGTCATGCACTCACATTGTCATGCGCTCACATTGCCATGCACTCACATTGCCATGCGCTCACATTGTCATGCGCTCACATTGCCATGCACTCACATTGCTTCGTGCACTCACATTGCCATGCGCTCACATTGCTTCGTGCACTCACATTGCCATGCGCTCACATTGCCATGCGCTCACATTGTCATGCGCTCACATTGTCATGCACTCACATTGTCATGCACTCACATTGCCATGCACTCACATTGCTTCGTGCACTCACATTGCCATGCGCTCACATTGCCATGCGCTCACATTGCTTCGTGCACTCACATTGCCATGCGCTCACATTGCCATGCGCTCACATTGCCATGCGCTCACATTGCCATGCCCTCACATTGCTTCATGCTCTCACATTGCCTCATGCCCTCACATTGCTTCATGCTCTCACATTGCCTCATGCTCTCACATTGCCTTTGTCAGCGCAGCTGTGCCGATCAAAGTACATCGTCTTGTTAAACACCTGCCCATCCCCGTCCAAAAACACATTCCTCAGCTCGTAGTACTGCGGCAGAAACATATCAAGTCGCAGATTATCCCCCTTATGAGTGCACCTGCTATCTGACACCTCCTTTCCCCCTTCTACACTTATATCCATAACTTTCGGACAGTTAATAGGCTGGTCCGGGAACAGGTATTCCGCGTCGACCAGGTTCGGCCAGTAGCAGGCTCGCAGGTTCGGGAACGCTGGACCGCAGGAGCCTAGGTTTGGGCAGGGCTCGCCTGCGCACTCCAGCTTCGGCTCTCCTTTCTGGAAATGGTGGTGGTGCTCTAGAAAGGTCTTGTTGAGATCGATTCTGCGGATGGTTCGGTTCAGGGATGTGACTGTAAAGAGGGGTTCCGTGGGACGAGGAGAGGCGGGAGGTGGGTGTGAGGGGGGTTGGGGGGAGCTATCCTTTCTCTCCTGCCCTGTAGTCTCTGCTCCATCCGCTCTTGGACTCGCTTCCGTCTCCCCTTTGCGTTTCCCTGAATTCTCTCCTCCACTCTCCCTCCCACTCTCCCCCCCACTCTCCCTTCTGTTCTCCCCTTCTCCATACCCTGCAATCTGCTGCCTCAGCTGTTCCTCTATCGCAGCCACCCTCCCTAGAAGCACCTCATCCATACCCGCGTTGCTTCCCCATCCCTCTACTTCTCTTCTGTCTTCTCCTCTGCTAGAGTGAGGTGGGGGAAGCGGAGCGGGAGGGAGGGATGGTGGAGGGGGGACGGGAGGAGGGAAGGGTGGCGCATGCTGTGGGAAAGCGAGTGGAGGCGAGAGTCGGAGGGGGAGTTCAGGAGGGGGAGGAGCGGAGATGGAAGGTGACACAGCAGTGGTAGCGTCCGCTCCAGCAGCAGCAGCAACACCACCACCAACAGCAGCAGCAGCAGCAGCAGCAGAAGCAGGAGTGGTTGTGGCATCACCAGCAGCATAAGTTGCGGCGGATACAACACCCTGTGATCGCTGCAGTGTCTGCTCCTCTTGCATCTGACGGTTGAGCTCCGCCTCTATCTCGGCCACTCGACCCAGAAGCACCTCGTCGGCCGACTGAACAGCCGGCTGGCCGGTTGTCTGAAATGTCGAAGAAACGGCGGCTTGATTGGCCGATGCTGGGTCGGCTGTTGCTGGCGCTGCTAGCGCTGGCGAAACTGTTTCTATTTGCGCTCGAGCTGGAACGATCATGGGATGGGATGTTTAAGGAAGAACGGATGGGACGGGGAAGGAAAGCGGAAAGAGATGGATCGTGGCCACGAAGAGAATAGACGATATTGTCAAGGCCGTAGCCCCCAGGTGCTCAACAAATCGCGAATCGTCTCAATCAGGCACGTTAGGATCCGGAATACATTGCCTTGTAGCGGCTCACCTTGAGCCGCGCACGAGACGGAGAGGAGGAACGAGACGAGGAGCGTCGTTTGAAAGCATGCTGTCCAGCCTGGCTTTCTCCGGCCCAGAATCCGACCCCGTGCCAGGTCCCGTCGCGCATAAGGTCTTGAGAAGCCCCTAGGTGACAATTGAGCCGACACAAAATCCTCCTTTCTCCGGTCCATGGTCAAATCTCGCCGAGCAAAATGTCCCGAGAAGCCACGTTCCGTCGCCATGGACGGGTGCGATGCTGATTCGGGTTTCTAGGGGACGGAAGGACGACAAGCGTCGTTAAGAAATATTCTGTCCTGTCCAGTCCGCGCATAACGTCTCAAAAGGCATCACGTCGCGTCATCGCCGTGGCTGGGAGCGCTGCTAAATCAAACTGTAGTGGCGATCCCTAGTTTGAAGCACTGGCTTTATTACTAGCGTCCCCTCATTCAAGAGCCTGGAATCTCGTCGAGCCTCAAACCCAGGTCCGACAAGGGTTGGCAATGAGCCGCCATGGATTCATGCAAGTGGAGCCTCTGCCATTGTCACTCGTAGTTTCTCAGCATCAGTGACGAAGTCTGGTCAGACGGAATCGCAGTACTGGGGATGGCAAAATGTTTTTCGCGCCAATGGCAATCTCTAGGCCCCTGCAGTTCTGACGGGCGAGAACCCAAGCCCTCGAGATTGTCATTGAGGAAAAAATATTGGCGGCACTCGAGATTAGCGGCCGCGCTAACACGTGCAGTCACAGAAACAAATGAACATTATGACACTTGCAATAAGCGACAACAATTTGACATACAAAACCACAAACGCTTTCACAAATGTCTCCTACCAAAAAAATGCTCCAGCAAATAATTTGTCAAAAGCTCTATTTCTTTTCATTCCCCCCATTTTCTATTGAAGAGCTTCCGAAGCCTGCTGGCTTTTTCTCCTCACTCCCAGAAGAAAGCTCCGTCTCCTTAGGCTCACTATCTTTGGATCCATTGACACTTGCGTCTGCCTTGCTCCCAATATTGGGGCTGTCTTTAGCGGAGTCGAGACCCAGCGCCAGTTGGAAGGCGTAGAGTGTGAGGCCAAGGGAATTGATGGCAAAAATAAATGTGGCGAGCCAAACCAAGCCAGACACTATGGTCCTGAGGTGCCATGAGAGAGAACGGCGGGGAATGGGGGAGTGAAGGGGGCGAGTGGAGAAGGGGTTTTTTTGGGGGGGGGGGGGGGGCGGGGGGTTGTGGGGGTGTGGTTTTGAGAAGGGGTGGTTACGTAGGTGGAAGCGAGAGCAATGAGTACCACGAGACAGCGTGACGTGTGTACACTGTTTGTTGACAGCAGCACACGAATGCTGCACGAGGCGGCAGCGGAAGAGCTGTGGCAACGAAACCGAACGCGAGACCAGGTGAGAAAAGAAAAAATCCGCAAGGTCATAGGCAGGAAACGGGGTTGCCTGGAGAGCGTACCTGACAGCAATTGAGAGGTTGCGAACCTGGAGTGGGGGGGCAGGGAGGGCCAGTGGGCATGGGGAGGGTTACAAAAAATGGTCGTCAATGCTTGAGTGGGCACTGAAACTGCTTTAAAAAATGCTGTACGTATTGAGCATATTGTGGCCCCACGCCGTGAAGCTTGTAGGCCGGGGTCTGGTTGTCAAACACGTGAGGCAAAGGCAGCAGCAAGCATGCTGAAGTGCCCCATAATATAGTGTGCAGGTGGTGGACCACACCTGCCCCGCAAACACATCATCCACCGACGATGCAAACTTGTAGAGCAACCATTTAAAAACAAAGCAATAGCAACGTACCGTGTAGGTCGTCGACAGAGTTTGGCCCGCGAACACGTCATCAACAGACGATGCAAACTTGTACAGCACAATAGCTATGGACCCCGCCACCAGTGCGCCGCCCAGAGTGTTCAGCACCGTGGGTGGCGCGCGCTTGGCAGCTTCCTCTGCCGCTTGTGCCGCCTTTTTCTTCCTCTCCTCGGCTACTGGGTTGGAGTCTAGCCTCTCCACTGAATCGGACCGGAAACGCTGGGAGGAGGGGAGAGAGAAGGAGAATGGGAGGGAAAAGGATGAGACATCCTAGAAGTGCCTTGGTATAGGTGCTTTGTATCTTCCTCTCGTCTGCTACCGGATTGGAGTCTAGCCTCTCCACTGAGTCTGACCAGAAGCGCTGGGACGGGTGGGCAGGGACGAGAGAGGGCGTGGGGGAGAGAGCGCGGGGAGGGAGAAGGGGAAGGAGAAGTGATTACGGGAAGGGAGGGAGAGAGATAAGAAGGCTAATCCAGCCACATGAAACCACAATGCACCGCACCCCACCCCTGCTCACCGACTCTGTGACCTTGTTTGCTCGTCTCTTCAGCGCCCGAAACAGCAGCACGCCAATAGTCCCGGTCAGTAGGATACTGGCAAAGGACTGCAGGGGAGAGACATCAGGGATTGCCCAGGGGTCTTCCAGGTACGCGGGCACGCCTGACGCGGGGGGCAGCTCTATTGGCCCATCTGATGCCAGCGTGGCAGCCGTGTTGAGCGTGGCGAGCACGAGGTGGCTCGTCCAATCAGCAGCTGACACCTGGCAAGAGAGAGGGGGTGTGTGTGTGGGTTGGGGCGGGGTTGAGGTCGAGTGTGGAGGGAGAAGGGTGGGGAGGGGAGATACGAAGCGAAGAGAAAGGGGGAATGGAGAAGGAGAGAGCCCGAGCGTTTCTCTCACCAGAGACGAAGCAGCGCTCTCTACAATCCCGGACACGGCTTCAGGCGGAGCAGCCAGCGCAACTACGGCTAGATTCCGCCTGCCCGCGCGGCTACATCCGCTACTGCTACAGCCGCCGCGCTTCCCCGCGCCTCCTATCCGCAGCGACGTGCCTCTGGCTGCTGGCGAAGCGCGCCAATGCGGATGCGGGGAGGCCAGCAGCGGAGCAGGCGCAACGGCAGAGACAGCTCGCGCGGAAAGCGCCGCCATCATGAGAGCGCGGACGGGGTCGACGCGGACTAGGTAAGCGAGGAAAGCGCAAAGCGGAAGCGCTTGTGTAGAACGCAGCAGCGCAAGGGGAGAAAACACGGGGCGTGCGGAAGTAATGAAATACTGCCAGCGGCGCTGAAATGGACCCGAGGAATTCGGCTTCGGTGGAGGTACTTGTCTTCGATACAAAGTGGTGCGCTTTCTTACTACTGGACTTCGCGAAGATGGATTTCCTAAACACTTACCGAACATCCTTGATAAATTCTTCGCAAACGTTCATTATTAAGTGCATTTGAGAGCGTGGTACCAAGCTGTGATGTGCCATTAACCTTACCCTTACATTCTCTCCGTCACCAGGCTACAACGGTACCATCATACCATTTGCAATAAACCAGTCATAGCAATTTGGGCTAAACCCCTCTAGAACACCCAGTAGCTGGCTGGCAGCCAACTCCCCAGTGAATCTCCTGGCGCTCTCTTTACATTCCCCATTCACCACGCTACGTCGGTGCCATCATAGGCGATAAAGCGGCCGTTGTCCTTCTCACTCAACCCATCAATAACCGTCAGCAGCTGGTCGGCGGCAAAATCAGGAGTGAAGATCTTGTCAGCCGGCAAGTGCGCAGTGAAGGGGCGGGTGAGGTCGGTGTCTACAGTGCCGGGGTGTAGCAGAACTGCGACCACTGGGCTCTTTTGGGTGGCCAGCTCCACTGCTGCCGTCTTGGTGACTGTGGGAATGGGAGGTAAGGGGGGGGGAGGGGGAGGGCATAAGGGAAATTTGTAAGCCACAGGGAAAAAGGCATTGGGGTGTAGCCGCGCGACCAGCACTGGGCTCTTCTGAACGGCCAGCTCAACTGCTGCCATCTTGGTGACTGTGGGAATGGGAGGTAAGGGGGGGGAGGGGGAGGGCATAAGGGAACTTTGTAAGCCACTCGGAAAAAGGTATTGGGGTGTACCAGCACGGCCGGCACTGGGCTCTTCTGAACGGCCAGCTCAACTGCTGCCATCTTGGTGACTGACGGAGAGGGGGATTGGTGGCGAGTAGCAAGCCCTGCGGAGGGGTTTGGCGAGTAGCAACCAGTTGTAAAACACTTGGTTGAGTTTCTGGAAACTTGGGTATCTGGCTTTAAGGTACTAAGGGGCAGTGTCGGCGAAAGGAGAAAGAGAGACAGAAGGGTGGAAGACCTCAGCCCTGACTCCAAGAAATGCACCTTGAGCCTTGCCTTGCCTCAATCTTGTCTGGCAGCTATCTTGCCTGGCGTCCAGCTATCTTGCCTGGCGTCCAGCACTCACATTGGTTGAGAGCAGCTTTAGAATCCTGGCAGGAGAACCATCCCCCAATGTGGCTATTGAAATGGACCCCCTGGGAGCGCGCATGTTTGCCACTGTAAAGCAACACTGTAGGTCCACCGTACATTGGTTAAATTCCCCTTAGACTCACATAGGTTCAGAGCAGCTTTAGAAGCCCGGTACGAGTACCACCCTCAATGTGGTTGACTGAGATAGACCCCATGCGCGAACTCATGTTTGTGACTTGTTCTGGCATCTAGAGCAGCACTGGAATTACACTGATTGAGAGCAGCCTTAGAAGCCCGGTACAAGTACCATCCGCCCATGTGGTTGTCTGAGATGGACCCTTAGGCAAAACACACTGTGGTTACGTAGACTTCTTACATTGGTTCAGAGCCCCCTCGGACTCACATTGGTTCAGAGCCCCCTCGGACTCACATTGGTTCAGAGCAGCTTTAGAAGCCCGGTACGAGTACCAGCCGCCAATGTGGTTGTCTGCGATGGACCCCGTGCGGGAGCTCATGTTGGCAACTAAGGAGAAGGGTCGGTTGGGGTTGGTGTGGCCGCCCGTTACCAGCAGAGGCATCATGTGCTGTGGGGGGGGGGGAGTGGGGGAGGGGGGATGAAGGTTGATATGATGCTGTTAGGTTCACACTAAATTAGTGCCAGACTTACTTGTTGTGCATGAGCAAGAGGGGAGGAGGAAAATTGTGGACGTTGGAGATTTCGCAATAACCCATCGAACACAATCATATGACCAATTAAACCCATCCCATCGCCTCAGCATTCTCCTTGCGCACAAGCATGGGCCCCATGGTGTTGACTCGGATTGACTTCAGAGACCCCTTATACCTCACCTTCTTCTCACCCCCTCCGGGCCACTAGCTCTCACCTTGAGCACGAGCATGGGACCTATGGCGTTGACTCGGATTGGCTTTTAAGGCATCTCAAGCCATCCCATACCATCCCATCCCATCCCATCCCATCCTACCCCATCGCCTCAGCTCTCACTTTGAGCACGAGCATAGGGCCCATGGCGTTGACTCTGTAAGCCAGCAGCATGGCATCCTGGCACAGCCAGTGCAGGCTGCTCTCTGGTGCGGGATGTGCAGCAGGGGAGGTAAGGGGGAAGAGGGGGCCAGTCAATTGGTCGCACAACCAATGCACACTGCTCTCTGGTGACACACGGTGCAGCGCAACCAAGGTGGGGGAGGGGCGGGTGGTGGGGGTTCACTCGGCGGCACGACCAATGCAGGCTGCTCTCTGGTGACACATGCCAGACAACACGCAACAGCATCAGAACCCTCATGCTTGGCTGTAGCCCCAATGCACCATCATGCTTGGCTGTAGCCCCAATGCATCACACCATCATGCTTGGCTGTAGCCCCAACCCAGCTGTAGCAGCCTACCCGGCTGTAGCTCGTTGGGGCGGTGCAGCACACCCGCCACGTTCAGCAGCAGGTCGAGCTTGCCGTACTTCTGGCGCACGGCCGCGGCTACAGCCTGGTGGGATGAGAAAAGAGAAAATAAGTGATGGGGAAGAGGGAGGCCAGAGGGGGAGAGGATGAGAGGAGATCGAAGAAAACAGTGGGTGCCGCGTTCAGCAGCAGGTCGAGCTTGCCGCACGTCTGACGCACGGCCGCCACTACAGCCTGAGAGAGGGGAGAGAAGTGGGATGGGAGGGAAGAGGGGATGGGCAGGAAGAGTGCATTGAGACAACGGTGGGGCCAAAGGCGCCACTTGACTCTGGCGGACTACACTGTCAAGGGTGTTAGATTCCATGCGGGCTTGTAAAGAATACTAAATTCATTGTGAGATGTCAGGATTGTAAAATTCCTTGTAAATTGTCAAGAGTGTCACAGCCGTCTTCATTACACTGTGCCTCACTGTTGTGTCATTGCAGCCCCCTGTTATAAACACATTTAGGAGATGAGAACAACTCTATCCGCCTACGCGCATCCCCTTACCTCGATGGTATCCTCTTTAGTCACATCCAGTTGCATCACATCCAACCGTCCGCCGCTCTGGTCATGCAGCGCGTCCAGGTGCTGAGCGCCCATTGGATCTCGACACGTGGCGATGACCCGGCCAGTCGGCTGCCGCTTCAGCAGCTGCTCTACCTGCACACGTGGCAGGCAGAGAGAAGGGGCCAGGGGAGAGGGTGGGTTGTAGAAAACGGCGAGAGGGAGAAGAGGGAGAGTGGAAACACGAAAAGGCCAATGCCTGCATCTGAGACATTGAGTCAACTAAAAAGTCACCTCGAGAGGGTGGGTTGCAAAGAAGGGTGAGAGGGAGAAGGGTGAGAGGGAGAAGAGGGAGAGTGGAAACGCGGAAAAAGCCCAAGGTCTCCATCTGACGAGTGAGTATCCACAAAACCGTCTCAATGGCTTTTGAAGTTGACTCGGAGATTTTGTCGGAATGAACGGCTTACGAAAGCCAGTCCGATGCAACGGGCGGCATCGTTGCAGTGGCAAATGCGAGCCCGGTCCCCCTCTAGTCGGCTTGAGGATCATCTCAAATTGAGAATTAAAACTTACGAACGCGAGTCCGATGCCTTTATCGGACGCCTGAACCAGCGACACCGTCTGCAATGACGCCATTAATCCTCGTCTTATAAAGCGTATCAGATTCAGCAACTTACGAACGCAAGTCCGATGCCTTTATCGGACGCCTGAACCAGCGACACCGTCTCTTCGGCCACCGCAGGCCCGGACGACTGCGACAGATCGGCAGCGGGACACGCGGACGAGTGAAAGCCCGCGATCGCGTTGCGGAGCCCCGCAGCAGCGGCTGCGCCGGTACCGCCGGCGGCGGCGGCGGCTGCGGAGGAGGAGCAGGAGCTGGTGAGGTGCTGCCGCGCGGCGACGGAGAGCGCGCCTCCGTAAAGACCGGCGAGGATCGGCCTGGCAGCTCGCCGGAGCAATGCGACGGACGCAGATGCCATGGGGTGAGAAGCAGGGAGGAGGCCGAGGTAATTTTTTGGTCTCAAAAAGCGTCACGAACTGACCGGAAAAAAGAAAATCCACACTTTCAATATGTAAAAGCGTCGCGGTAGGTGATGCTACAGGAGCGCGGGCTTTGTGTGCAAGGCCAATGAGTGAGATGCTGCCTTGACGATGAAACCAGGACGGAATCGACAGCGACGCAATGGAGGGAGATCACAAGGACGATGGCAAGAGCAGCGCCTGTAGTGGAAAATGGTGGTCAACGACGGTGGTCAGCAACAGTGGTCAGCAACGGGTCTCAGCAATGGTTGCCAATCCACTGATACCTAAAGCAATGCCTGAAAGCAGAACCTAAGGGATGGACACAAGGGGAGACTAAGTGAGAAAGAAAGAATTCAAGAAAGCTCATGGAGATGAAGCTGGCAGGAGATTGACATCAGGAGAAGCAGTTTCAACAACTGCGGTAAATCCTGGTTCGAGACGTTTCTGCACGGTTTCAGAGGTACTGAGTGCTGTAATGTCAACGTGCCAGCGTGTAAAATCAGACCCGAGAATCCAGGGGGGGGTGAGTCTCGCCAGCACATTACCTTGCCGTCCCACGCCAATCACGCTGCGCTGTGTGTTTGCCTCTGCGCTGATTGGCTCTTTCGGCAGCCAGATGCTCGTGTCTACTCATCCCGCTGCTGATAGGTTCATAAATCATGGGCTAAACATTTTCGTTACATCTGTCCAGCTCCTTAACTGTTGCGCAAGGAGAAAGTTTGCCACTACGCGATTATCAAGAGGACCTTGCAACAATAATCTAGAACAGCATTTAGCAATATTCACAATACTGGTATGTCAACAATACCTGTTCCCAGCTTTCACCCCCCTACGAGGAGCTACACTAAAGAAGCTCCCTGTACAGAAAAAACATTCAAACAGCTCCCAGAGCACCATTCATGCAAACCCATCACATTCACCCTTGCACCTCCCCCCAAAAGTAGTACCACCAAAACCAACCCCAACGCGTTTAGAGCACCCCATTCAACCATCATTCCCCCCACCACCCAGAAGCCATACCCTACCCCGACGAAGCAGCCAACTCCTCCTCGCCCTCACCTTCCCCACGCTTCTTCTGCAGCGCAAGCGTCCCGCTGAGCGCGCAGTAAAACCGGATCCACGTGAACCTGCTAACCATGGCCAGAACCACCGCCCCTTCCGCAAACAACCGCTGCAATGACGGCAAATCCGGGCCGCCAGGCCCTTCCAATGGCGACACCAATGGAGAAACGGACTGAGACACTAACGGGGAGACTCTGCAGGAGCAAGAGATGGTGGGGGTGGTCTGTGCCCCTGACAGCCGCAGCAGCTCCATAACCGTCAGTGGCTGATACTTGGGCGGGTCGCTCATGACGATATTGTCCACCTTGTGCGAGTAGATCTTCCCTGAGCTGTCGAGTTTGTACTCTGACGTGCCGTCGAACCTGCCGTGCGCCTCCCAGGGGAGCCTGGGGATTCCGCGGACGGACCAGCGGATCTGGATGGTGCGGTCGTTGGGCTGCCACACGCGCAGCACGTCCACCCACAGTGCCTTGAAGAAGATCTTGCCGTGGAAGCGCAGCGCTTTGAAGATGAGGCGGTAGTTGTCGACGCCCTTGAACGAGTTCATGGGGTCCTGGAAGGTGATGTCCTCCCTGCATGGGGGATCATGGGGCAGCACAGGCAGAAGGGGAACAGGGGAACGGGGGAAAGGGAGGTGTGAGTCCACCCAGAGCGCTTTGAAGAAGTCTCTGTGGAAGCGCAAGGCCTTGAAGATGAGGCAGTAGTTGCCAACGCCCTTGAACGAGTTCATCGGATCCTGAAAGGTGATGTCCTCCCTGCATGAGAAGTAGGGGGGAAGGGAAGGACACGGGTGGGGAGAGGGGGGTGCTACTACGAGATAATGACAGCCCAACACCAGCACACACCCTTTGAAATGCACACCTATAGATGTCGTATGTCATATCGTGGTATAAGAGAGTGGGGAGCTCCTCTCGGAGTGTTCTGATGGCGTACCCCACATTCACATAGTAGTCGTCCCGCAGCTCACTCACTCACACACACCCTCCCTCCCCAATGCACACCTATAGATGTCGTATGTCATATCGCGGTAGAAGAGAGTGGGGAGCTCCTCACGGAGCGTTCTGATGGCGTACCCCACATTCACGTAGTAGTCGTCCCGCAACTCGCCCTCCTTCTTCGGCTGTGGAGGGGGAACGGCCAGAGAGAGAACCCGAGGAAGTTGAGGGATGGAGGAAGACATAGAGGGACGGATAGCTGGACGAGCAGCATGGGGGGAACGAAATCAAGTGAGAAACGAAGAAAAAAAGAAGAAGAAAAAAAAACGGGACAGAGCAGGCATGCTTGAGAGAAGAGATCAGGCCCAAAGAAAGATAGAATGTCATTGCAATCCTGTGGACCGAATTGACTAGGAGACAGACCTCTAGATTCGTCTGGAGCTGAGTGGTGCTGCCAGGCGGGTCCGAGGTGGCAACTCCCAGTACATGCTGGTGTGGGAACTGCAGGCAAGCAGAGGACAGTGTGCGTCAGGGGGGAAGTGGGGGAAGGGGCGTTGAGGAGGGGAGTTACGAGAGAAAAACAGAGGAAAGGGAGGAGGGAGGATAGATGAGAGCAGCAGGAGCTGTGTAAAATTTGAGTTCTCGTGTGAAAAAGAAGGGAAGGAAAGGGGGGGGGGGGGGGGAGGTGAGAGCAGGTGAAGGGAGTAAGCACCGAACAGCACGAGACACCACGGCTTGAGCGGGTGCAAGCAATCGCATACCTTTCCGCCATTGACTTGCTCCATATCCACCCTTGCCTTCTCTCCGGTCATGGCAACTGTGGAGCAGATAGCAGGAAGCGACAAAACATAATAAATTTGGTGAGAAGGAAAGAGGTCGGACTGACTGAGAGGAGACATACACGCACTCGGAGAGGGCTTAAAACGAGAGACATGGCGAGAAATCCCTTTTCCTGTCCATGGAGCTTAAAAAAAAAAGGGAGGAAAACACAGGGCAACCAGATGCATATGTCAGACAGCACTCACCCAGGGGAAGCAGGCTGCCCTCCCTTAGATAGTGCGTGGTTTGGAAGCTGGAGTCTCCCGCATGACCGGAACTAAGAATCTCAGAGTGCCCAGGAATCCCCGCGTGACCAGCACTAGGGATCTCCACCGGCTCCTCTGCCAACCCGTTGGCGTGCAGAAGCGCGCTGAACACGGAACGCCATCTCGCCATGTCTCCCAGCTCAGGCTCCTGCTGCTCTGGCATCGAAGTTAGCTGCACGCGTTCCGGACTTTGTTGAACGGATGCTTGTCCATGCGACAGTGGTTTCTGAGGCTGCTGAGCCCCGGGAGAGAGGAAAGATAGGAAAATACCTCAAGGTTGGATGGGGGGTGTAATAAGGAGGTAAGCTAGGCAGCTTATCCTCGTCGAACCGGAAGCAATAACTTAACGAGCGGTTGCTGGGGAGGGAGAAAGGAACTCGCAAAAAAGAACATTGTTCTTGAAAATCAGGAACTAATTTTAAAAAGTCGGTGGGTTGTAAGCAGACCTTGAAGTAGTTCTACCTTAAGGGGGGGTAAGACTGGCGTGGCTACTCGACCGGAGGAGCCTGAGCGACTGGCAGCCACCACGGCACCGCCTGGTACGGGAGGTCTGACCGCCATTTCTGCTGCAAAAATGTCGAATATGATACAGAACGAACATCAGTACGAAAGAATTAATGTACCTTCCTCGTAAGCCGCTCTGTTCTGGCAAATAGCGGAAATTGGCTCGACGGAACTAGATGGCTCTCCATCCAAGATCGGCTTGTTACCTGCGAGATTCATCATCGCAGCCGCCATTCTGACGCCCTTGGAAGAGATACGCTCTGATGTTGCACAAGTACGTGAAGGTATCTAAACGAACCAACCGGTGTGAGACTGAGCTGGGACGCCGCTGCAGGTTGAGCGATTATAATAGAAAATATCGGCTATCTACAGGACGTAATATCGACAAATGGGATGAGCGCTGGAAATTGAAAATACGCGTTCCACCAGTTCCTATCGTATTGACTCTCTAAATTAGCTGCGGATGGAAAGCCGCAAAGAAATGACACCGTGTAAGGTCTGTGTCTTTCACTTTAACTCCTGAGTCGACTCAAAGAGTCACCCTATTTCCTTCGCTTGCACTTCTGCTCACTCTCGGAAAAGGGAAACACCTCGCTTCAGCTAGACACCACGAACTGAAGCTGGTATTCCTGCCGAGGACTGTTCGTCAAGAAACAATCCCTGGCGCTCGAAAGTTTAGTGAAGTTGCCTCAATGAAGAGTCGTATAATCCGACTCCAGATAGACCTATTCCTAGATTTCCTCAAGTCGCTCAAGCTCCTAAAATTCCTCCTGAAAAGCATGTGCAGTTGGCGATGCTCCTAGGGCATGCTACTGGCTGCAAGCCTTTCTCCCTAGTTCCTGGAACCATGAGTTCCCTCCCGAGGTTCTGTACGGTACTATTGTAGCATTGTAGGGTACTGTATCGCGAATCCCCATGCCTGGCAGTCGGAATATCCGAGCTGACGGCTGAGCATCTTGACGGCCAAGGTACAAGGTGACAGGCAGGCGAAAACTGACAGGCTACGAAAAAATGGATAACGAGGGTGGCGACGTTCGCCAATGAGCTCGCTCGACCACACGCTTTGGGGGGGCTTCTCGAAGGAGCACAAGATTGTCGCACAGAGAAGCTGGAGTCATCCTCGTTGTAAGCACAGCCCTTATGCCTGCTGGAAGTCGTGGCAAGAATCGCGACCACGTCACTGCTCACGGAGTCCCCCTGGATGGCTCTGCGGCTCGATGAGTTGCCACGTGATCCAGGAGAGGGACGGCCGTCAATTGCATTTGCCTAGCCAAGAGTCCGTAACTAAATCATTTACAGTAAATAGCAACCCAACACAAAAGTGGAACACATCCACAACAACCCAAAGCTCACATAACTACTACTCCTATCCTGTGGAGCTATCCTCTTGTAGATGCTCGCCTTAGCTCCGCGGGCTCGTCGTTATCAGCTTTGATAAAGCCTCGCCATTTCTAGCACCACTAGTTGCTGGCCTCCTACCTCCGCTACTACTTGGTCGCTTGACTACAGGCAAAGGACGCTCAAATCCATACGGGATTTTACTGTCCGCGCTTCCGGAGCTGATTCCACCGGAATGGTGATGTGTGGTGCTGCTTGAAGCACCAAGCGTGCTAACACCGCCCATGCTTCCAGCGCCAATGCTCCCACCACCGGTCACACTACTCCTTCCCCCACTTACGACACTAACATCGCCAGTGCTTCTTTTGTTGTAATGGCCACCAGTGGCTAAGCCTCTTGGAGCAGCAGCAGGATCACTACCAGCAGCACTTACTGTGCCACTAGCAGCACTACCACCAGCACCAGCAGGACCTCTACCAGCAGCAGCACCACTCGCACCACCACCAGCAGCACTTACTGCACCACTAGCACTACCACCACCACCAAATCCACTAGCACTGCTACCGCTACCACCACCGCCACCACCACCGCCGCCACCGCCGCTGCCACCTCTGCCACCACCACCGCCGGCACCACTACTTCCGCCACCACCGCCACCACCTAGCATGCTCCCTCGCCCATCAAAACTGCCAGCACCACCACTCCCACTGCTGCCAATACTTGTGCTTAAATTACTGCTCCTCAGGCTGCTGTGCCTCCCTCTCTCCTGCTCGCTCCTCCCCCTCTGCAGCACCCTCAGCGCGCCTCCGATACTCCGACTTAACGAATTCCTCCTCGATCTAGGGGGCGTTGCCCCTCCCCCGCCCCGTCTCTTAGGCTCCTCCCATCCTCCTCTCCTGCACCCTCCCCCTCCCACTCCTCCTCATCCCTCTCCACCCACACGCTCCTGAGCCTGTCCCTGCGCATGCCTAGCCCCGTGGTGCACTCGCATGTGACTGCATCCGAGGGCCGATTGGACAAGAGCGAACCAGAGGAAAGGCTAGAGGAAGAGCCTAAGAGGAAAGGCAGTGAGGTTTTTAGAGGTGGAGTGGTGGGGCGGGAAGAAGGGGTGGTGGGGCGAGAGGAGGAGGATGGAGCAGTAGAGGGGCGAGGGCTTGACGAGAGGGAGGTGCCATGGGGAGAGGCATGTGGGGCAGAAGCAGAAGAGAGGGAGGCACAGGAGAGGCGGAAGCAGCAGCAGCCACAGCAGCAGGAGGAGTGGCGGGACGGAGCTCTGGAGGCAGGGAGGAAGCAACCTGCCTTCTCTACCACATGAGCCGTCTAGAGAGAAGGACGGCAGTGCTTGCAGCCGCGCAACTCTTGTGACTGTGCCTGTGCTTCTGCCTCTGCCTGTGCTTCTGCTTGTGCTTTCATCGCCTGGGCCTGGGCCTGTGCCAATGCCTGTGCTTGCAACCCTTCTGTTGTGACAAACGGCTCGTCACGCGTCTCCTTCCGCGCATTGAGCCGCTGCAAGCTAGCCACAGGGGCGGGGGACTTGGGTGTGGCGTCGAAAACCACGCAGGTGGGGGAGAGCAGGGCGGGGGGGACGGGGGCTCGGAAGGTGGATGCCACGCGGGCGTGAGAGGGAGGTGTGATTGTAATGGATGGCGCGGACTGCTGCGATAGGCCGAGGGGACTCACTGGGCGATCTAGGGAGGCAGAGGCCCCCTCTGTGCTGCTGCTGTTGATGGCACCAGGACCCAGCTTGGATGGGCCGTGGGGCGATGATGGACCAGGTGAGCCTTCCTTGGTTACACCTTCCCTGAACCCACCTGCTGCAGCTGCTGCTGTTTTTTCTCCCCTATCCCCGTCACCAATGCCACTGCTGCTGCTGTGGCTGCTGTCCCCACCCAGAACAGCCGGAGAATCCGCAAAGCGAACGTAAGCCCGAGGGGATCGAGGTGGCACATCTGCAGACCCACCCCCTGCTGCTCCCGCACCCCCAGCAGACCCCCCCCAAGTATCACCCGCAGCCCGGACATACCCCCTGGGGGACCTCAGGTTGTCACCTCCCCAGAATCACCTGCTGCTGCAGCGCGCAGGTACCCCCTTGGGGAGCGTGGGGCATCTCCCCCTGCGGTTAGGTCCATGCTGTTGGCAGCTGAGCCACGGAAGGGCGGGCGAACAGGGGCTGGGAGGGGGGGGCGCGGTTTCAAGGGGCCTCTGGGGGAGGTGAGGGCGTCAGGTGATGAGGTGGGAGGCATGGCAGAGGGGGGCAGGGCAGAGGGGAGTATGGCAGAGGGGTGCAAGGGGGGCAGAGATAGGGAGGAGGCGGCTTCAAGTGAGGGTAAGTCAGAGGGTGGTACAGAGGAGGGAGAGAGCAGAGACGGAGAGAGCAGAGAGGGAGAGAGGAGAGACGGAGAAAGAGGGGAGGGAGAGAGAGGAGCCGTGGTTTGGCCTGAGGCGGCTGCAGCCGCTGCGGCTGGTACAAGGGGGCTTGCTTTCGATGCCGGGAGGGGCGTGGGGCCTTCAGAATCCATCCTGACGAACCAGAAGCAGCAGTAGCAGACGACCCAGCAGCGACAGAAGCCGACGTGGGAAACTTAGGATGGCCAGAAGCAGCTCCAGCAGCAGCAGAAGCAGCAGAAGAAGCGACAGAAGCTGATGTGGGAAACCTGGTTCGGGCCGAGGCAGCCGCAGAGGGAGAGACCGCCCTTGGAGCCGACACTGACTCTGATTTCACTAGAAAGCTCGCAGCAGGAGCAGCAGCAGAGGACCCAGTGGGGGACAGCGGCACGGCAGCCCGCGGCGACAGCTCTGCCACTTTCCCCTTGGCTGTCACCTTGCCGACCTCAGTGGCTGGTTCAAACACCATGGGGAGCGGCGCGCCGTGTACTATTCCTGCGGCGGCGGCGCTTGGGCTTGAAGATTCCAGAGATCATGACGGGCCGGGGTTTCTTGGAGTCTGCGGAGGTTTTGTCGAGCTTCTTCCGGGCCTCGGCGGCTATGGCTTCCATCTTGCGCGAGTTGAGCTGGGTGAGGTTGGAGGCGTCGGAGGCCACGAGGCGGGAGACGCCTTCTAGGGCGTCCAGGAGGGAAGCGTCCACGATCGACTTCTGGGCGTGGTACAGGGTCTGCAGGGAGAGGGGACAATGAGGAGCGGAGGGGGAAATTGGGGAGGGGGGGGGTCTTGAGTTGAGCTGTGTGGGGTTGGAGGAGTCTGAGGCCAAGAGGGAGGATTCGCCTTCTAGGGGACCAGGGGGAAGCATCCATGATCGACTTCTGGGCGTGGTAGAGGGTCTGGGCTGGGGTTGAGAGAGGGGAGGGAGGGAGGGAGGGAGGGAGGAGGGAGGGAGGAGAAAGGGAGGGAGGGAGGGAGGAGGGAGGGAGGGAGGAGGAGGGAGGGAGGAGGGAGGAGGGAGGGAGGGAGGAGGGAGGAGGAGGAGGGAGGAGGGAGGGAGAGAGGGAGGGAGGGAGGGAGGGAGGGAGGAGAGAGGGAGGAGGAGGGAGGGAGGGAGGGAGGGAGGGAGGGAGGGAGGGAGGGAGGGAGGGAGGGAGGGAGGAGGAGGGAGGGAGGGGGAGGGAGGAGGGAGGGAGGAGGGAGGGAGGAGGGAGGAGGGAGGGAGGAGGGAGGGAGGAGGGAGGGAGGGAGGGAGGGAGGGAGGAGGAGGGAGGAGGGAGGGAGGGAGGGAGGGACGAAGGGAACAATCGGCTACATAGAAATTAGTGCCCGCTCACCTGCACTCCGAGGAAGCGTGTTGCCTTGCTGTTTGAAGACGACTGCACTGTGATGGCATTGTTCCATGCTATCGTGTAGTGCGCCAATGATGGGTAGCACACTCAAGGCACCACCGTGTAAAAGGTCTCTCCTCACCTGAACCCTCAGTAAGCGCGTTGCCTTGCGGTTAGAAGATGGTTTCACCGTGATGGCATCGTTCCATGCTACCGTGTGCTGCGCAAGCAGCGGCAGCAGGCTGAGCGCCTTCCGCATCCTCCTCTCCCACTCCTCCATCTCCTCCTCCTCGTCCTCCTCCTCCCCCCACCTCCTCCTCCTCCTTCACCACCCACACCTCGCGGGATCGTT